TATAATGTTGCATGGATTTAGATTTCAAGTTACAGTTGTCAAGCTAAAGGGCATAGATTCAATTTCCAGTTTGAAGTTACTGATATGGTATTAGCCTTCATTACAATTACTTTTTAGGGCCTGCTATGCAAATGCCTTTAAGTTACTGTGCTTGGTTTTTAGGCGCTTTAGACCTTAAATTGTGATGATGATATAAAATTCTATACAGCTTTTGAGTCTAAAATTGAATGGAAGGCATTCGGTCTAAGAGTTTGATAGTAAATTTCATAATTCAAAGCACCTATTTTGTTTAAGTAAACGGAGGGATTTTAACAGCCAGTATAGAGAGGCACATATCTTAAACTTATATATTTCCTTTAATATCTATTAAAATAAATAAAATTTTATCAAATAGTACTGAAATTTATATATTGAATTAGGTACTCTAAAATCCTCCTATGGTTTATTATTAGAAATTATTATATGTATAATTAATTATAAGTAAACGTTGCAAAATTTTCAAAAAATATATAAATATTGTTTGCAAATTTTATTACACTTACTACTTTTAATCATGGATTATGAGAAGGAAAATAACTCTTATATCGAGAAAAACAAAATTTGTCTCCATCTCAAAGATTTAGAGAATAGAAACTATGAAATAAATAAATTTTTTCCAGCTTATTTTCAAGTCATTGCTCTTTTTGCAAAGAATTAATTTATTCGGTGGATAAAATATTTGAACTCGAAATGGTATTCTAAGTTTTAATTTAAAAGATGTGAAATTCAGTTGGTTAGATTCTCTGAGCAAAATTCTCACAAGATTTAATTTTAAATTTAATTGCGTACTTTTGCTTAATTGAAACAAATTACAATAAAGGTAATTTGTTTTTTCTAGTAGAGAAACTACAGTTATTAACGGACATAAATTAGAAACTACTTTTAAAAGGAGCATAACTGGTTTAAAATGTAGCCAAAAGCATTTTTGAAGTCACAGAAATCTTAAAAATAGAGAAAAACTGTATTAGATTTAGAAGACAAGAGTTTAAATTAAAAATTATCAAAAACAATTTACAGGTAAAGCAATGCTTTCAGTGTTGACATGAAAGTCAAGGCATTAGATTTTATGCCATTACTTCTAGCTATTTTAATTCCGCTTACTTTTAATTAACTAACTAAATCTTTAATAACTAACAGCGTTATTTATGATAAACTAAATTACACAGTCTTTTTGCTCAGGAAACCTATAATATTTTCCATGTTATGCATTCTTCATCAAACATGGTAAGAACTAAAGACATTTCTTCCATGCGCTCTTAAGATGCAAAGGTTCACTGACCTTTTGCATCTTAGATCCGGTGTTCAATTCCTGACAAAGAATAGTTATTTCCGAAATATTCGTTGCTTCTAAACTCTTTCCGGTTCTTTAGATCTGTCACCTGAACTAAACATATTAGGTGATATTTATTCGTCACTAGCTTGGATTAGTCGACTGGGGAATTTTCACTTTCCCCAGGCTTCCTCTAGTTAAGTGAACTTTAGGTGCGTGTCGTTCAACCCTTTAAAAAGTGTCCTGCGTCTGGGAGGATGCAATCGAATTAAAAGTGGGACTTTCATGTACTCTTAAGGTGTAACCGTTAACAAAAGATTCCGCCATACAGAAGATCCCAAGCTCGACTCTGAACGAAATGCAGTTCACTTTTAAGTCTTCTTCTGTTCTAAATTCCTCTTATTTTTATAAATTCAACAAAGTAAACTGTTAATAAAGTTGGGCACTCTATATTAAACCTTACTCTAGAACTACATTAATTATATGCTAGTATACGACAATTTTCACTGACTGCTTTCAATAAGATTATCTATAGCAGCGGTTCTCAACCTTTCGACTAACACGTATCACCTAAACAAAAACTGAAAAACTTCAGTACCGCCACTACATTTTACAATAATTAATTTTCGCAATAGAAATATTAAAAAATATATTTTACGATTTGCGCAATCTATTGGCTATTTGTTTAAAATATTCACACATAAAAATATTAGATTAAATTGGTTACCATTTTAATTATCAAAATTTAAGTTATAATACTTTAATTTTAAACTTTAATGCTAAATTTGGGGCTGTTTAAGATAGATCAATTTCTTTGTCTGGTCTTATTTCTCTTAGTTTTAACAATAAAATTTAGGATTTTAACTTTTAATTTCGTTCTCTATTTATTTTACATTGTTGTTCACACAAATAGGTTCTGCAAAAAGGCAATAAAAATTTAATAGCTTTATTTGAAATATCTTTAATTTTTTTCCGCTTCAGCCCAAAGTTATCAAATGTGTTGTTATTTTTGAAATCTTCAGTTAGATTTCGATCACAGGAAATTTCTCTCAATTGTCTTTTTTTTTCACGAGATAAAACTTCAAGTCGATTTGTATAAATTGGATTTCTTCTCCCGTTTTTATTTTCATAATCCTCGGGAAAATACATGGTGAAATTATTTATCAGAAAAAACAATTTTTAATGTCGGATGCTAATTCTTCTTTTATTTCCATATTATTTTCAGTTAGAAAATTTCTAAAATTAGTAAAAACTTAAAATATTATCATCCAATTCTTTGATTATTATCTCGAGTTTTTTTATCATTACATTTATTTTATCTCTAACGGTAAACAAATTAATACTTTTTCGTTGTAATACTAAATTTAATTCATTTAACGTTCCAAAAATAGCTGAATATGCTAAACGCGGCAACCGTAATTCACTAAGTAAACAATTCTGCAATTCAAATTTTTAATCACAGAGAAGAATAAATAATTTCTGTAAACATCGTTTTCTTTTCCTTTCAATATTTTTAATGCTAGTAGATTGTCGGGGATTCATCACCCGTGAATCATAAGTTTTCAGCTTAGTCAATCCTAGCTATTTTTCTGTTATGAAAATCTAGGTTTGCTTTATTATTTTTTCACAAATGTTTAAATGCACAATATATTACTAGTTCTTGAAAAGCAAGCGCGATATTCTCAACGTGTAGAAAAGTAAGGAATGCAAAGCAACAAGAAGACAAGATATCTGCTGTTAGAGACAGTAAATCGACGAAATAATTATTCTAATCAAAAACAGAGCAATATGAGACCGGAAATGGCGGCGACATAAAGTGTGGACATGCTAATAAATCGATCAACTGTAAAAAAAATTAAGGACTTGCCTTTATCTTCTAATATATCTTCTTATATTATATATCTTACATATTTATTTTTATTTCCTATTCAATACAACATCCATTTCTATTACTCCTTTCAAAAACATCATTTCTGAAAAAAAGTTATGTCTGTGGCTAGAAGAATATTTGCGAAAACGGATTATTTTGCTATAAGCTATGAACGGATACTGACATTGAACAAAGCTCAGGTCGCAGAAATTTACGAGTGTTGAAAAATCTTAAGGAAGATGTTGGGGTACTTAATTTTGGAATGTAATAGTTAAAAATACTTTGTTTCTTTGCGTACCACCGGTTGAGAACCTCTGATCTATAGCAAACACAGGCATTAGAGGATAAGAGTAATTTCAATGTATGTGAAGAAGAATCTAAGAGAGTAGTAAGCAATGTATCCAAGAGTTAGTTAATATTTTTACAGCATTAAGGTACAGAGAATAAATTTGCGCTGTTTTTACAATGGGTTCCACTGGACTTGTTTAAGAAAAGCAAACTAGGACTATCTATTTAAACTTTACCTATTTAAACTTGGTTTTCACCAAGAATACCTAAAAGGAAGGAATATGGGGTAGAGCTTTCCCTGTTGCATTACCACTAGTTTCCCGAGAGGCTTTTCGGATTGATTGATTTGAAATGCAAATGATTATGATGGCTTATTAATAATATTATTGACTCAGTGGATATGACCACAGATATGCAGCATTTCACTTATTATAAAAGGAACGTTTTTTCCTTTTTGTTACTTATGGAGCTAATACAAATTCATGTCTAAAACTCGGCAAAACGACACTTTTATTTTGTCTTAGATTTTAAATAAAACTTTATCGATTTCAGAAATAAAACCCTATCAAACTTAGGTTTCCTTACTTTATGAACAAAAACGTCCTCTCAGAATTGACCTCAGGACCAAAAACAATCTGAAATTTGTTCTTGAAAAAGAAAGGCTTGAATTTAACTGTTATAGAAATCGAGAGAATTTTATTTCAAATCCAAGTCAAAATAAGATTTCCTTTTTTTTAATTTTAAGCTTTATATTGCATATTTATCTTCTTAGTTAAAAGTTTACATTATTATGAGGTAAACTTCAGTTTGATCATGCAGCAAAGCTTCAGGCAATCTCATGAGTTCTGATTATTATTTGATGTGTTTCAAATGTATACATGAAAGACGTGATGATGCATATTAAGAGTGCAAGATTGGACTCCATGTTCTTAGGCAGCAATTAGTGGGTGATAAGATTGCTAATGTTCTAAATATTTCATACACTTTCTCGGACGCTAGACGTATGAAATTGTACTTTTTTTATACATTCCCTTAAAGTTTCGAATAATTCTCATTTGAAATATTTTGTGTATTAGGATAACTGAGTTACGTCTAATGCATACATGAATTATAGATTTAAGTATGTTTTAACATTATAACCACTTAAGATCGATAAAGTGAACACAGTGCATAAATATCTACAGATGTGAGTTTTATTCCCAGTGTTATAAGCTTAGAAGACAACTACAACATTAGTGACAAACTATCTGGATTGGATTTAAAAAAGAAAACTTAAAGTCAGTTAGCGCCGTGATAACTTTTCCGTCTGAGCAGAATATTCTTATCTCGAAGACCATTAGCTCCGGTACATCACAGATTTCAAATATCTAGATTTATTATAACATAGAGAAAAAAGTAAATTACTTTAATTAAAACACCATAATAAAGGCTTTAATCTAAATTGGATATTTCTCTTAAAAACTCAAAATTACAATATCGATAAAGTTTATCGATAAAGTTAAGGCTAAATTTATGAAGAATGAATGCACTTACTTGTAAATCCAATTTTGCAGCTTCAGCTCCTGCTCTTGTTGTGAAAGTGACAAATCCGACGGGCTATAGAATTAGATTAAAATAATAAGAAAATGGCAAACCAAACATTCAGATGTGACTATTAACAAAAGCAAAAAGTTGCGCAAATGGCTTATATTCCATACTCATTAATCGCAACTTGTGTTTAAAGTTTGAAAAAAATGCAAAGAAAGCAGTAATGTATAAAATTTGTTTTTGACTTTTAGTTCACTTTAAGCATAGATCAACACAGCATTGTCATTTTGATAAACCCAAAGCAAATAAATACTTTGAAACTATTCCAAGCTTTCTTTAAAATATTCAGACTACTTCATAATGCTTATTTTTTACACAGCCTTCTCTTCATAAGCTAAATACTTTTACATCATAAACGCGCAAAAGCAAAACCAATGAAAAAACATAAAAATTGATGAAAATGATGACAGTAAAAACATTTAGCCGCGTGAAGCTAGACCCATCGTGCCACAAAATTAATGCCTTTCGTGGTTTTTATTTATCTTTCATAAACAGCATTTTTTTCACAAAAAGTACTTTTTAGTATCGGAGACTAAAAGCATGACACGTGTTACGTAAAAAATTTCCTCTCCCCCTTTGAGTAATGAAGCGACAGATTTTAACGATAATTCATAGCTGGTAGTCAAAAAGGTTAGACTGTTAATTATTATCGTAATAATTTTCGTTTCTTTTATCATTTCAGGGAAGAAAAAAAGCTTACTTGCCGAACTTTCGATCCACGCAAAGTATTGAAAATATTTTGGTTTGAGCTCATTTCAGAAAAATGAAATGCCACCATATTTTTGAATGAGTATTTTTCCCATCTTATCGGAGAAAGACAAATTATTTTTCCATGCATACCATGCATAGATTTTAGTTATTTGCCGATCTGTAAATATCAACATCAACAGTGGATATCGCGAAAGAAAAAAAAGCGCGAATTGTATATTTATTACGTAATATTGTTGATTATTAAAGGTAAGGAACTTTGAATTCTCCGAAGTTGAAATATGTGATATGCTTGTTGAAAATTGGTTAATTTTGTAAGAGCTCTGGTATAAAGGAAATATTATTTTAATGAAATAGATGAACAGATAGCCATAGTTTGGCGCCAGTCTTGATTAAAACTCTAGTAGTTTTAAGAGCCTTCTGGTAAATTCGTTTTTGCTCCTGAAGAAGATGCATCTAATGCAGACAGACTATACTCAAAATCGATAGAAGTTTATTAAAACTCAACGACAATTTAAAGTTGCCTTTCTGGCTAATTTTGGAATTCACTTGTTTTTATTCTAGTTACAATACTTGAGTCTTTATGATTAGAGCAATAAGTATGAATTCTATGTTATTCTAATGAAAGAATTTCTAATGAATTTCTAATAATAATTCTAATGAAGCTGCTATTTGTGTAATTCTTTGTATAGCATAAAGATGTAAATCAAATATTTTATAAAAAGTGCAAAATCGATAGAGTTTAAACGATAAGCAATAACATTTTAAAACTACTATTGAGTTTTATTTCGCTCCTAAGGAACCGGAAACTGTTCTCAAACGGAGGTAATCTTTTTATCCATTACTGGCAAAACTCTAGTATCACTGAAAAACTCTAGTATCACAAAAATTTCTAGTATCACTGAAACATGAAATTTAGGCATTTGTCACAAATTAGACTAGCCTTTTTAAGCTTTCAAACTCGATATATGGTAAAGAAAAAGAATGTAAGAAATGAAATTTGTCTCACATTATTTTATTACTCAGGGAGTTTATGAATGACAACTTCACTTATATCTTTTCAACGTACTTATATCTTTTCAACGTACTTATAACTTCACTTATATCTTTTCAACGAGTCACGTTATGTCTCAGATACGAAAAAGACAAAATACTTCTCCTACTTGACTGAGAAGCTGAATTTCGCAAAATGCAAGAAATGAAGAAATAGTGCCTCTTTTATTTCAGGTTCTAGATTTATAATATAATAAAATAATGCTAAAAATATTTTACCTGTTTAGATGAGATTTGTGATTGTGATCTTAAAATATTTCACGATTTATTTTTAAAATGTTATAAAACGAATATGTTTCGTGTTTTGAATTGCAAATGTAACTTTTTTTGTTCAAGCAGAAATTTTGCTTATTACTTGATAGCAAAAATTTGGGCATGAACTTGCTCGAGATTTTTACAATAATATAACATAATTATGGAATGTAAAAAATTAGAAAAATGTATCATTATTATATAGAAAATGAAGTTTCGTAACAGAACTATGGAATGAGAAAATTAAAAAATATTGAGTATGAAAATGCGTCACAGACAATATCTAACTGATCCAATGCAGTTAGAACATTTCATCCGAGTTTAAAGCTAAAATTATATTACAATAACATCGATTATTGAGTAAGGTACTTTTGATTACTATATACTGTTATTAAAATTATTATCTAATAGGTTTACATTCATAATTTTGTTGTAAATTTGGGATATTTATTTTTCCGCCTTAACGGAAAAGCAAGGGTGTTTTTCAGTCCTACAAAGTATGGTTATATCTGTTTGTTTACCTTCATTAGTTCATGGACACTACTATATATTTTTTCGAAAATGTTTATTTAAGACCCTATCATTTCTATTTTATTTTAATCACTTTAACCCATGCTCATTACACTAAAGATTTCAATTCATCCTTATATTAAAACGTCAAATTCGGAATTTATCACACTAAAATTTAAATTATTTAGTTGTTTAGCAGCCAGTAGTTGAGCAACAGCAGGTAAATTCTTAGGAAAGTGTTATCAAGGTAAACTTTAATACCTTAAGATAGAAATTTAATCATAACATGTGACTTTTGCTAGAAGCAAATTTCTTTCATTGCTATAAAGCAAAAATAAACGCTAGGATTTCATAAGATTTTTATTATTAATATTTGATGAAATCTTAATTACAGCACAAAGATACTGCAAGTCTTCTTTAGAAAATGAAGAATGTCATTTTTTGAGCCTTTATGCTTCTGTCTACGATTTAGGTACACCTAAATAGCAACCATAAATTTCAATTAAAAATTTAAAAAAATAGTTTGGCTAGAATAAATGACAGTAGGAATACAAAATTTTATAATGCTAATGATGGCATCATATAGAGATTACTATCAGAGCGATTAATTCAAAGCATTCTTCTATGATAAACTCCCTGAAACCACGAAAATATTTCCTTCCATTTGCTTAGAATTGCAGACTTTGTCTTTTTGCTGTAAAAGTTCTAAATTCATTGTCTGAGAACAAACACATTTCTTTATTCGTTTGATAAACAACGCTGATTCTCCTAGAAAACACTTAATTTATTTACATCGCTTCCCATATTTAACTGCAAAACTTTGAAGAATATCGACGCAGAACTGAGTTTAATGTTAGTCTGGTTTCGTAAAAGTGTATTATTAAAATATTTCAAATATTTTTATCCGCAAACACTTACAAATTCTTCTATTCCATTGATTATGAGCTGTAAGAAAATATAATTTCATTCTACTATTAAACATTAGCAGATAAAATAGCTGTGTTAAAACCTTAAGTTACAAATTCATACAATTTAGAAAAAATATTCAAAACTTGTTGGCAGTATAGACGTTTATATGGCATTTCTTAAAGGAGTAAATATTAGTAAAGCACTTTAAATGCGTTAAACACAAAATGAATAAAAGTTAAATGGGAAATTTCTGGAATTAGAAAATTACTTTTTTAAAGCAGAAAACTTTGCTTTTAATTGCTTGTGATTTAATTTAAAGATCATGTACTTTAAAATTAAAATAAACAATTTCTTTATTTTTAAGTTGGATAATTTGAATAAGAAAGAATAAAAAATAAATTAACAGAATATTTAAAAAAAAGCAAGTTGCTAGTTTAATATCTGAAAGTATTTGCAATAAAACTTTTATAAAAACGAAACATTCTTTTGACATAAACCTAGGAACTACTATATCGCAACTTGCCAATGAAAGGAGAAATACATATATTTGATATTATACTTATTTCGCCTATATAATGCTATCATACAATTTTAAGGATAATAGCCTGTTACAAAAATTTCGTTTAATTTATTAACTTTTTGGATAGCGCATATTTAATTCAGAGCATTTCTATGCTCAGTAGTTATTATTTAAAAACATTAGATTTTGAAAACAATATTTGGTCTCAAGTGAAGCTAGATTTTGATTAAGAAAAGGCTACTAAAATGTTAATTGAAGATCAATGGCTGTTGTCATTAGGTGATTTTTCTTTTCATTTACCTATTTTTTCATTAGGTTCCTAGGGGAATACAAGTTTATTAAAAGTTATATATCTCAGCAATTCAAGGTCACATATCTCAGCAATTAAGTTCTTTAAAAATAATGTAAATATTATCTGAGATATTTAAATGCTCTTCAAGCCTCAAGCATGTTTTAAAAACGAAAATTAGGAATTTCGCATTTTAACACAATAAAATAAATTTTTTTAATCACATTTCATTGCATATTAAGTAGTCGACACGAGTTTAATAAAGGTAAGTAATAGTTATTGGTCAGTAAGTATATTTAACAAATCGTAAACCGAGCGCTACACAATAAGAGAAATATATAACTTACCGATGAAGTCTTTCCATTTTTGCTTGTTACTTTTAATAACGAACCTTCGTATCCCTAGAAGAAGCAAAAGACTCAAATGTATTTTTTCTAGAGATCATGTAAACCAAAAACATAAGTTTTCTTCTTAGATATTTTGAATTTGAAGAACTTTTATAATTAGCAGTACTTCATGACTAGATTTTTATGATAAAATAAGGCTAAATTTAATCGTAAACTGAAGTTAGTTCATAAGAATAAATGCATTAAGAAGAAAATATCATAGTTCTGAAAACTCTTAAACACTTAGCTACAAACTTTTACCAGCGAGATTTTTGTACAAAGCATTCTATTCAGTTTTCGGATGTTTTCGAACCATGATTAAGCAACGGAGATGAATTATAGTGCTACATTAAAATTTGTAGCTTTCATTGCATCTAATGTTTTAAGCTAGGCTAGATGAAATGCCTTAAGTCAGGTCTTCAAAACGAGTTATTTATCTATGCAATATAATGATAAAGCATTGAAAACTAACAGCATATTTCAACATATAAATCAGCATATTTCGATAACTGTTAAAAAGCTGTCAATTAGATTAACTGAACACTTACTTTGTACGCCCTGAAAAGAAGGTATAATTCTCGTGGCTTGGCATCCATGGGAAGACCACTTACAAATAATGTGCGAACCTGTAACAAATTTAAAACGCATAATTAAACTAAAATTCAGTGAAATGTTTTAAAAACATAATTCAAATATTTAAGATAATACATTCTACTTTTGCAATGAAATATAAGCAATGTATTGTTATCGAAAGGCGCACTTTATTATAACTTCAGATTCCATATTCGAGGAATTCAGGATCATTTTATACCTAATTATAACAAACTATTTTTAAAATTGTTAATTTATTACGAGGACTTATTATTTTATGCAAATTTTCCTTAGTTCACATTAAGAAATAGCGAGGAAAACCTTACACGAAAAGGGGAATATTCCTAAATGTTTCAGTATTACGTTTCTACATTCTTTAATCTAGACACGTTAAACTTTTTGTTCTTTAATAAGTCAAAATTTAATACTATAATGTTGACTAATACTTCATTCCAACACTTTAAATTCTTATGTAGAGTTATGAAGTTTTTTTACATTTTGATTTCAAATGTTTGATTATTTTACTACCTTAGATAATTAATATCTTCAGCAAGACCTTTGATTTTTTTCCGAATTATTAAAATGTTCCAAATGAGGAGAACAACAAATAACTTAAATTTCAAGTCTGTATATTAAATATTATTTTATATTATTATTATACGATGTTCTAGTACTTATACAGAATAGAAAAATCCGATTTTAGGCGCAAGAGGTTGAATAAAAACGTACCATAAGCTAATTTTTGTTGAACTGTGCAAAATAGCGTCTGAATAAGCATAACGTAACATATCATTTCTGTCAGCTCGAAATCTCGTTTTTTTTTCCTATGAAGAACATAGATTTCAAAAACGTTGGAAACATTAATTTGATTTCCATAGAAAAACGTTTTATAAGTCATGATCTTAAGAAAATAGTGAACCAATTATAAAATTATTGAGTAGTCAAATTTACCATACATTATTATTTTTTCGAAAGATTTTGTAAAAATATTTGAAAACCACAACATGATATGATTTGCAATAGAACAGCATTCATATGTTAAACTTCTAAAGTAAATTTCAAGTGATGTCAAGAAAAAGTGTTTTTGCCAAAGTGTGCTTGGGTGAAAAAGCTACATTACAGGACTTTATAAATATTGAACCCCTGACAACTGAGCACGTAAGAGATTTATAATTTAAGTTATTTTAAGAGTTCCTACTTTGTACTACACAGCACAGCTTTTTATCATAGCAACAATGGTAGAATCAGTTTTGCTGCGCTTCTGTGTATTTTGGTAAGAATGTAATATGGTAATATTAATAATCAGTGTCTTGGAACAGTCGAATATTTTTGGTATAAAATATAGGATAATAACACTATTTCAAATTAATTTAGAAAATATTCCAAAGTTAAAAAATTAATTTGAAACTAAAGCTGCATAAATGTATTTTTCAGTAACACAAATATCATCGCCTAATTATCCCTCAATTATTGAAGCTTCGCCCAGTAATTAAAATTTGAACAATAATCTTCTCTTTGAATTCGAATATGTTTTATCAGATTTCTGTAAGAAGTAAATGCTAATATTTCATTTTTCCTTAGCTCAGAAATTGCAGATAATTGAGGGGAACTTTTGAGGCAGGTTTAATATTTTATTCAAGCTTCATGTTTTGACTAGCATTGGCAACGACAAGTAACAATTACGCTCTCATTAAGAAAATACGAAATAAATATGAATAAGTTATCTGTTGAACAAATTTCGCCAAGTTACTCCAGTCAATAAGAATATTCGCAGCCTTATATTCAAGCTCAACATCTATTGAAATATTCAGCAGTAAACTATTTTTTAAACATTAAATATGTCTGAAGTATTAAAAACCGGGTCTAATAGTTAATTCTATTTAAAACACATAAGAGAAACATTATGCTTAGAAATCACAACCACTGCCAGAAATTGTTGACAATGACAAATCGTCAGCTATTTACTTTTTCAATCGATAGATGCCACCAGTGGCATCAGTTACGAGCTTCATTTCCTGGGCAGCCGGACAGATTTCCGCGGGCAACATTTCTGTCGGGGCAGTTCATCACTCTGCGAAACACTGCCATCTGAGCTGCAGCCGGTATACAAAGGGTAGAAATGATAGCTTATTCAATACAAATCTTTCCTTTTATGGAAAAAAATCAGCGATGCATTTGGTGAACATGGAACAGTTATAATCAGAGAAGTTTCAAAGCTTGATACTTTGAGGGGGGTTCCCTTTATATCATTCGACTCTTGAATTAATAGGATAATTAAGAAATTCAGAAAACACGCTAAAGTAAGGATTGCTGCTTGAAAGCAAGAGTTTATTAAATCATTTAATAGATAAAAATATGCTTATAAAATTTCCTTCTCTTTGTAATCTTTTATGTCCTGAAAGCTTTACATGCATAAATCATTTAAGAAGATGACGATTTTGATGAGTATGTTTACACGACAGCAGCTAACTGACGTTTTCATGTGCTTGACAAGGATCTGAAAATTGGACCAGCAACTGGGAAGTTTCACAGTAACTTCGATCAATATGGAATCATCTCAGTATTTTAAATCTTTTCGTATTTCTCCCAAACAGTAATTCAAGCGCAAGCGCATTCAATGCGAAATACGACTGTATGTAATGAAAGTGTTCGAATTAGTAAAGCTTCTTTTTTTTTTTTGGCTTAATGCAAATCGCCTAAACTTACTAAACAATCAAAATCATGATGTCGATATAATTCTTTTTAGAGCAATTGAAATAACCTGAGATCTACAGAAATCTAAAAAATAATGTCATTAAATATACACGACTGATAATTTCACACCTTTCTTTCATTCTGTTATGAGATGAAAATAGTAATCTTTTGAACACTGTATGTTAAAGACTGGATTATTTAATTTAGGCAAGGCATATGAAGACTGTCACCTTGTAGAGTCATTAGGTTAACTGGAAGCCAGAGAGATGAAAAATATGCAATCGCCTTCGCCGGGAATCGAACCATGGACATCTGGAATACCGACCCAGCGTGCTACCGTTACACCACGAAGGCACGCTAGAGAAGTGGGAGAAATACCTTATATACTCCCCTTTTTAAACTGCGACTAGGGTTTTAGGGGACCTAGTCGCCAAATCCTGGGTGTGGAGAATCATCATCCACAACCCTTTTAGTTCGGGCGCCACTTGTAGAGTCATTAGATTAATTGGAAGCCAGAGATATGAAAAATATGCAACCGCCTTCGCCGGGAATCGAACCACGGACCTCTGGAATACCGGCCCAGCGTGCTACCGTTACACCACGAAGGCACGCTAGAGAAGTGGGAGAAATACCTTATAACCTTAAGATTAATACTGTTTTGACCAACAGCACTTCAAGGGCTGAAGTCCGAAGATCCTACCTCATTCTTCCCCTACTACCAACTTCATGAGAAGATTTTCAAAAATACATGTTTCAGGAGCATTCAATAAACAAAGATAATACAGTCACAAGCATTCAAGTCTTGTTCTGGACCAAAAACCCACGTGAGCAGTCAGACTAATTTAACCAGCATACAGTTCCAGATGGCTAGTATATTACGAACGAAATATTTGTAAAAATTTAATATTTATTTATGAAAGAAGTTTAATATCTGATTTATGGTAGTAATGAAAATTTAAGGAAACGTTTCTGGAAAATCATTAATACAGCAATTCTATCTAAAACGAGTTTATTAATTCTTTACATTTAAAAAATATGTTAATAAACTTAATGATTGCTCAAATAATGCAAAAAATGTGAAAGCTAGAAACAATTTAGTAGACGAAATATAGATTTATTTCTTGTCCTAACATAAAAAGACACAATTCCTTCTTAAAAAAACTAATGAAGGCATTGATCTAAATTTTATAATTTTAATATTTAAAAATGCTGGTTTTAATTCTCTTGAACGAATCGTTTGCCTCATTTTTGCATTTTTTTTTAAATTACTGAAAGAAGTAATAGTAATTATTCTAAGCTAGGTAGATTTAATACATATAAATTCGAGTTAGGCTACTGTGGTTTCCTTCCTTTGGACAAGTCAATCTGTCCTTTTCAGAAAGGTCATTTCTAGTTCGCCGTTGATAAGGTAACAAGAAAGACCTATAGCCGTCATCCATTATCTTTCCACGTGAAGGAACCTGAGGCATGTGCTGGACATGCTCGTCCCTCCACCTTCACAAACCTTTCGCCACGAATCGCTTCTGATGAGGGAAAACAAAAGCAGAGAATCTAATGAGGTATGCAGTTAAAAACCTATGCAGGTATAAAGCCATAAAAACAATCATAGAATAGGAGACGTTGTTTACTTCAATCTAGAAAATGTAAAATAAATTGAATAATGATATTAATTAATTGATTCAATAAAGATATACGAAGAGGTAGCTCTAAATTTGTATTTTAAAAGGAGGGCATTTTCTTTTAACTACGATAAAATGACCACTTAATGGTTTTATTCTGCATTTAATAAAATGATCAGCAGAAAGCATCAAAATTTGAAAAAATTATACTTAAAATTAATTAAGAGCAATAACATATTATATTTGACTTTATAACTTAACGGTTTTAAAAGGTAATAGAGTGAACTGATACGCCTATTCCAATATAAAGAGTTCATATATATGTAAATTCATACATTTTGCTTTTTTGCTTTCATTCTCACCTCCCTCTTTCTCTGTATATATACTATATAGTGCAAACATACGAATAAAAAGTAAAACACGTGACATATTATAAGAAAATGAAAGGTAATTGCGGATATGTAGAAGCTAAAGTTTAAACGAGTAACATACAGCATTGAACCAAAACATCTACATATTTTCCCTCAATTTAAAATCCCAGTGAGAGAAATTATTTGAAAAATAAAGAGCAAAATAAGCGATGCGCATAATACATGTATACATGATTAAAACATTAACGCTTGATCAAATTTCATACCATATATCGTGATATATGGTATGAAATATGGTATATGATGCATGGTGTGCGACTAGTTTCGATTACAAAGTAAACAGTACA